AAAGAAAGAAATGGAGGTAGTGGGAAACATTAAATGTACTGAAAGGGATAGTAGGTAGATTTCTTGAAGACATGGGTAGGCAGAGAATTCATGAGAAAAAAAAAAGCAAACTGCAAAGAAAATTCTTCAAAGGTTCAATAATTGGTATCTTTTGTGATTGAAAAAATTTTGCACATCACAAAGAAATGACCAGAAGAGTGAAAAAATCCTGAGAAATTGAGAATAATCTTAGACATTAGTCATTCACACTAAGACTTCAATCTAGAAGTGTTTTTATCCCGTATAGTATGACTTACGTAGAAAGTGACACAGAGGTTTTCATGGGTAAATAGATGGAGGTAGATGCCATTCTTTTTTCCTTTGGTTCTGGGAATTGAACTCAGGATCTTAAACTTGCCAGGCAGAGTTTTGATCCCCTGAACCAACTCTCCAGCTATAGGCACCATACTCATAAGTGAAATAAATTAGAGCTGTATGTGAAAAGATAGTATTATCTCACTAGTGGAAGAAAGTGAAAGAGTACAGAAGGTCCGAAATGTACAACACATTGTGAAAGAAAGAAACTGCTTAAAGGAAACAAAAACTTGAATGGGTAAATGGGAAAAAGAAGAAAGGAAATACACACATGCACACGCACATGCAGGGGACTGGTAAGTTCCTGGGATATAGCTGAGCAGGCATAGTACTTTCGTGGCAAGTACAGTTTGGAGTTCAGTCCACAGTACCAAACAACAACAAAATGATAGCTAACATAATTACAGTACTAATTTTTTATTAGTTAATGGAAAAGGATTGTTTTTCCTTATATTCTTTGATAAATTTTGTACATCTGCATCTTGGAATATGAGCAACTAATTTGGTTTTTTTTTTAATTTTATTTATTTGTGTGTGTGTGTGTGTGTGTGTGTGTGTGTGTGTGGCCAGCTCAGCCCACCAGGGGGCAGGGCTGGCTGGCATGTGGTGCTGGGGGATTGAACCGCGGTCCCTGTGCTCTGCTAAGCTTGTTCTAAGTAGGTGGTTTAGACCACTGAGCCATCTCACCAGCCCATGAGCAACTAATTTGAAGATAACAATACGCAATGTGTTTACCATTGTTAATTTCCAGCCATCTTGATTTGAAATTCTGTACCATATTGATTTTTCCTTGATAAAAAAAGATTATTAGTGGCTTAGATAATACTGAATACATGGGCATCAAATGGGGAAGCTCACCATATAGCACGTACACATTGGAAGAGCAAGAACTTCCTGGAAGGGGCAGTATAAGGAGATTCTTGTCCTCAACCCAAGGTGACTTAGAATATCAATCCCTGCTTTTCTTCACTACAGGAATACGTGGCTGTAGCCCTTCCACATTGTCTTCAAGCCTGGCCTTCAGTGAATGAGTCTCTAGCCCCAGTTGTCTTCTGCATCAATCAGTCCAGGGCCCACCTCTGTCTAACGGTCTATAATATTTCTAAATCACCAAGCCATATCCATATGTGACAGTGTCTGCCACCCAAAAGCAAAGTGCAGCTGACCAATCAGAAGCAAGAGCAGCCCATTGCAGGATTTTCCTTAAGGGGCTCCTCTGCTAACTTTCAATATTTTGTAAGGTTAACATGAAATGTGGCACAAAATGTAAAATAAGTTTTGAGATCCTTTACAAAGAGGAGATAAAGGGGAAGGATATGAAACAGAGGTCGAGGACACAGGGTGGGAGCTGGGATACTCAGCAAGATCAATGCATTTTTGGCAGTGTTCCAGGGCAGCGCTAATTTCTGGAAGATGGGAGGGAAAGGAAGAGTAGAAGAAGAAAAGAAACAAAGTGTTTCATGCAAAGGTATCATCTACCAACTGATAGGTTATGGCCCTAGTGTGCTTTGCTGAATAGGGCTGAAGCCCTTAGAACAACAACTTGTCTTCCCAGAGACTACCTCTCCCCTTCTCCAACTCAGCCCAGGGTGAACTTTGCCTCATCTCAGAGAAGACCCCCAATCAGCTCCTCAGGTATATCTAAACATCCCCTTCCAACTCCAACCCTTGGCAAAAGTCCATAAAAGCCTGAGCCCCCCTTTTTTTAGATCCACACAATACCTTGTCTTCCCCAGATTCTCTCCTTGTCCTCCAAAATAATAAAGCCCCTTTCCCTTTTTCCTTCTGCCTGTTTTTCTGCTGTGACAGCATCAAAACCCTATCCCTGACAATAAATATAAGCATAATGTACTAAAAGATTTCTTAAAACAAATAAAAAATTCAATAAAAAACTTCTCACATTACCGACTTATACAATCAATTTAGACATGTTACAATTTACAATTTTATTTATGTATTTATTTTCTCTCTATGTTTTTTTAGGGAAGGGTCTACAGAGTGTTCAGTGTCTCACTACTTGATCGGACTCCTAGTGTTCCACCTGTTTACAGCCTCTCAAGGGCTGTATTACAGGTGCCAGACACCATGCCCATTCTCATTCGCCCTCTCAGTGAGCCTCTGGGGCTTGGCCCTCAATGCAGGCCCCGAGTCAAACCCAAGGCCCCTGTGCCTGCTTGCAGGCACTTTAATCTGCTGAACTATTTGGCTAGCCCTAAAAATTACAATTTTAAGTAATCACAGGGAGAAAAACTGATCTCGGGTGGATGACCTTCAAATGGCACAGTGAAAAAATGAAACTCCCGACTTCAAAGACACCTGGGACAAGTTCATGTTCTCTAAAGCAGAAGAATGAATTTTAGGAACAAATGGAGGTTATGAGCAGAATATATTTATTGGGGAAAAGAAAGCTTCTGTGCAAGAGAGGACAGGAGGGGGGCTCCGAGCTGGTGGTCCCCGCGATGCTGTCACTCCAGGGACTTTTATAGAGGAAAATCATGAAGTGAGGAGAGTCTAACATGGTGGAGAAGACATTGGAACTCGCTTAGGTGGGCATGTGGTGGGACAAAAGTGTGGTCAACCAGTGGGATTATGGGCACCATTGCTCAGGTAAAATTGATTAAATGGAGTAACAAAGGAGGAAGCCAGTCTTGTAGCAAGCGGGAATGAATATGGGATAGGGTCTCTTCCTGTTGGGGTTTGGGTTAGTGACTCATTTAGGCTCTTTCAGGTGATTGATACTACTTAGAATATCATTCCCTGGTGCCCTTTCCTAGGGAAGTATGTGGCTAATTTGTTTACTCTTTTTGTCTTGAGGTCTGACCCATAGGTTTGGTCAGTCTCTTCCGAGTTGCAGAGTCACCTTGTCTTCCAAATTGACTCCTTGAGGGTCTGGCCCTGTCTGACTGCCTAGAACATTTCTATTTAATTCAGCTGCCAATAGCAGTATCTGGGTAACAAAACACAGTGATGCAGAGCAAAAGATACTGAGAGTAACATGTCAATGAAATGTGAACCAAACATATTTCAAAGTTATACTAATTATATTAGATTTCAAGGCACAGACAATAATTTGAAACAAGGAAATACAATGTGGGAGGAGCTCTTTCTTTGCCAAACTCCCCCCAGGATCACAAAGTCTCTCAGCCAGGCTTCCACGGTGGCTTCCAGTTAGTCCTCCTGGCTCTGCCTGCCCCGCCCCC